TTTGGCTCGCGCTCGCACTCTCTGCAGCACGCTCCTGGACGCACTTTCCATGGGATTATTTACTACTGTTATTCTTCGGTGAAGGGCGGACTAGGAGGAAAGGTGTGCAAGGAGGCACGAGAGGATCTCCTGCTCGAAGGCGCCAGGAAAGGCTTCCCAGCGAAGTCCAAGGCTCAGGGCAAACGGGCGGCTCCGACAGAGATGCCGCGGCGAGTATCATAGAGCACGGTGGTGGAAGGGCGTCAGGGAGTCAGGTCCTCCGTCGCCTTCCCGCGGAGCTCGGGGCGTGAGGCCACCGCGGAACATCCCGTAGAGGACGGGAGGTGTGGCTCGGAGGACGCGGGGCCGAGAGGAGCGAGGGGCGAGTGAGGCTGCGTCGGAGGGAGTGGAGAGAAGTCGTAAGTGAGCGAGAGAGCAGGGGCGCGGGCGAGCCAGCGAGGGAGCGACGACGAAGGTGCCGAGCGCGGGGAGCGACGCGAGGAGAGCAAGGCCGGGAGCAGCGCGTGAGGGGAGCGTCGCCCCAACACTACAGTGCCACCACCCGGGACCAGAAGGCATGGCTCGACCCAAACACACACGCCGACGCACCACGCTCTCCAGGCCCTGCACGCCTACATCCCCTCCCCGCCCGCCGCCCGCCCGCCTCGCCACACGCTCGCCACACGCTCTCTGCCCCATACATCCTCGCCAGCTGCCACTCACCACCTCGTCCTAACAAGCAAGCGAGCAAGCACATCAACAAGCAGGCAATCGATATTCCGGAATTGCATCACGAGGACTCCTTCCCTCCTCCTCCACAACGCGGATCCTAGACCACACACATCCCACCGTCCGCATCCTTCTCTCTCTCTCTCTCTCTCTCTCTCTCTCTCTCTCTCTCTCTCTCTCTTCTCCTCTCTCTCTCTCTCTCTCTCTCCTCTTCTCTCTCTCTCTCTCTCTCTCTCTCTCTCTCTCTCCCCCCCCCCCCCATGATCTATTACTTATTCCGCCTCGACTATGTTACTAATACGCTACCCAAGCCAGGTAATAAATAAATGCCTGATCCACCCCCTCGTCCTCTCCCCATCCCCATCCTCTCCCCCTCAAACACCCTCATCTACCTTCGCCAGCATTATACAACGGAAGAGGAGAGTAAGTGAGTGAGTGAGTGAGTGAGTGAGAGTGAGAGAAAGAAGAAAGAAAGAAGAGAAGAGAGAGAGAGAGAGAGAGAGAGAGAGAGAGAGAGAGAGAGAGAGAGAGAGAGAGAGAGAGAGAGAGAAGAGAGAGAGAGAGAGAGAGAGTGAGTGAGTGAGTGAGTGAGTGAGTGAGTGAGTGAGTGAGTGTGTGAGTGAGTGAGAGCGAGAGATTAAATAACACTTCTTGACCGGCTGGGGACTGGCTCCATCAACACCATCGTTTCAGGTAGAACCAGTCCCGACTTCGTATTCTCTCTCTCTCTCTCTCTCTCTCTTCTCTCTCTCTCTCTCTCTCTCTCTCTCTCTCTCTCTCTCTCTCTCTCTCTCTCCTCTCTCTCTCTCTCTCTCTCTCTAAAATGTCACAATCAATAGGACGATCTTTGTTCGAGACGAGATAATTTTAGATATGACATACATACATAATCAGTCAGACCCAAAATGTCCAAAAGACGCGCTTCTAACTTCTACCAAAAGTTACGCCAGAAAAGAATGAAAAAAAAAAAAAAAGAAAAAAAAGCACCAACCAATAAAAAAAAACGAAACACAAGATAAAAAAAAGGTCTAACAAACGAAGAAAATAAATATAAAAACATAGAGAAGTAAAAAAAAAAAAAGAAAGAAAAGAAAAGTAAAAACAATAATACTAATTATAATAATAAATAATAATAAATAATAATAATAATAAATAATATAATAATAGTAATGATAATAATAATAATAATAACAACACAGATGTCGATACAAATGTTAACCAATCGGAGACAGAAAAGGACACCAGGAAGCGATGAAATTTCATTTATTAAACGTCCACCCACACGCCACCCGCCATTGGGGACAGCAGTCTGTGGATGATACGTCATTCCGTGATAATCACTAACAATCCTCATAAAGCATACGATAAATTTACGATGGACTTTAAAAGGACGGGAAGCACAGGAAGGATGGGAGTTGGGGGCAACGAACGCGGATCGGGGATGGGAGAATATTAGACAGTGGGAGGGCGCGGACGGCGAATAGGCGATATTAAGGAGAAGAGTCGAGGAGAAGAGAGAAGAGAGAAGAGAGAAGGAGAAGGATGGAAAAGGGAATAGGGAAAGGGAGGGATGAAGGGGGGGAGGCGAGGAGAGGCGCGGCGCAGGGAGGCGGGTCGCAGAGGGGGGAGAGGGCAGAGGGGAGGGGAGGGAGGACTTAGGGAGACGCCGAGCACGAGCGCACGACGCAGAGGGGACACCCGCGACGACCCCGCGGAGAGAGAGAGTTTTAGAGAGAGAGATAGCATGGAGCAAGTAGAGGAGAGGAGAGAGCATAGAGTAAGTAGAGAGAAGAGAGAAGGGAAGAGAGAGAAGAGAGAGAAGAGTAGACGCATGAGAGAAGAAGGAGGGAGAGAGAGAGGAGAAGCCCCAAAAAGACCAACGTAGACCACCACAAATGAAGAAGGTAACACCAGATTTTGATACGTAGTCCTAAGAAAATAACACACCACCACCGCACACACACAAGGGAAAAACATCACAACACACGAACAAAAAAACAGCACGCGCCGCGCGCACAGACGGGAGTCCACTCCTCACGAGACGACGCAGTGACGGCGAGGGAAGAAGCAAATATATAATCCTCTTTCGTCCATCTACCCACCAAATTAACATCTTAAGTACTACGCAACACCTTCATCAAAAGTCTCTCTCCTCATGCTCTCTCTCTCGCCCATTTGTGTGTGTCGTGTGTTGTGAAGATTTATGTTCTCTTGTTGCTTGCATGAATTAAGTCAATCCGGTAATCGACATTTCAAATGGGATAAGAAATCGATCCTGAAACAATCCACTTTAAATAAAACGGTATAAACCTAAACAAAACTGGCAAATGGAAAACAAAATATTAGAGAATAGAAAAATCAGAAAAATAATACTAACAAACATTTTCCCACAGGAATAAACAACACAACAAACAAACACTAAGACAAGAAAGCGTCAGAGAGTGGAGCGTGGCTCGTCGGTCACGGGTCGGAGAAAAAGCCTCAGCGAGGAGTCGGGGGAAGGGGAGGAACAGTAGCGAGGGGCAGAGGGGGGGAAAGGCGAAAGGGGTACGAGGAAGCGAATGCGGAAGCGATGGGAAATGCGCGAAGGTGACAGGGAAGGGAAAGGGAAGGGAAGGGAAGGAAAGGGAAGGGCGCGAAGGATAGAGAGGAGGTTTTTGATGGTAGGAGAAACAAGGTCCGCGGAAAAAGGAGGGGGGAGGTAACGAAGGACAGGGCAGTGAAAGAGGGGTAAGAGAACGAGGAAGGAGGGGGAGAGGGGGAACAGATAGAGGAAGGGAAAAGAAGGTAGGAGAGCGAGGAAGGGCGCCGGAAAAGGATTGGAGGAACGGGAATGGAAAGAGGGTAGGAAAGACACTAAAGTCCGGGGGGAGAGCAGAGAAGGAGCAGGGACGCAAAGGTAGAGGGAGAGGAGGGAGGGAACAAGCAGGGAGCCGACTGGGAGGGAGGAGGGCTGCGCAAAGACGATAGGAGACACGATACAAATTAACGGAGAGGATGGAGGAGAGAGGAGAGGAGAACGAAGAGAGCGGGGGAGGACAGGAAGAGGGACTAGACGCAGGGATAGAAGAGACGGATCGGGGGAAGGAGCGAGAGAGTGAGAGGACAGGGCGACAGGAGGAGAGAGAGGAGAGGAGCGGAAGGAGATAGAGAGGAGAGAAGGGGAAGAGAGGAAGGACGAGGAGAAGGAGGCGGAGAGGAGGAGTGAATAGAAGACCGGGTGGGGCGACCTCGGAGGGAGGGAGAGAGAAGAGATTGGTAACGCAGGATGGTGGAGAGGAGGGGCAGGAGAGGAGAAGAGAGGAAGGAGGGGGCTGAGTCACGCCGATGACTCAAACCGGAAGTTAGAAGCGAGTGAGGTCCGGGGATCAGCGAAGGCAGGGGTCACAGCACGCCCAGAATCACGCAGAGCCGGATGCTCAATGATGGCCACCCCATGTTAGCACCAGCTACTTGGCGGGGAATGTAAGGAGACAAAAAATATGGCGCACATGCGGACACGGCCGAATTCACCAGTGCACGTTCAATCCACAAACATTCCATACAAAGGATACATGTACATAATACCATACTTCACACACAACAATCCCACCACATTCCAAGAAACCCACAGAAAGGCAAATGCAACACACACACAAGAACACAACACAAACGCACACACACAGTAACAGAACAGGTGACTTCTCGCACACAACACACACACCTATCCAAACACACACACACACACACCACACATCACACACACACAACACACGCAACAACACCACACGCCACGCACGTACGAAGAGTCACACGCACTTCACAAAAAAAAATAATAATAATATAATAATGTTCGCTTGAGAGAACAATATTTTTCATCATCATCATCTTCATTTCACCCCTTTTTTTTCTCCTTGACCTACACATTTATTCATTTATTTCATTTCCCGAAGGAAAACGAATAAAATGGGACAGATGGATATCCCGTTCGAGACTGAGGCTTTTTTACGGAACCGGCCAAATATTCCCCCAGGAGGTAAGTATGGAGCGCGAACTTCGATGAATATTTTATGCTAATGTCTTTTTACGATTAAACATCTGATTTCCCAAAGATATCTGCTGGCGGGCTACCAAACAAAACAAAAGACTTGAATAATGCCTGGAGGGAAAGGAGGAGGGGGGGGGGAGGAGGAGGAGGAGGAGGAGGTGAAGGAGGAGGAGGAGAGAGGAGGAGGAGGAGGAGGAGGAGGAAGGAGGAGGAGGAGGAGGAGGAGGAGGAGGAGGAGGAGGAGGAGAGAGGAGAGGAGGAGGAGGAGGAGGAGGAGGAGGAGAAGGAGAGGAATAAAAGAAAAAGGTAGAGAAATGTGACCCATAAGAACTATGCTTTTTTCGAAGACCATGTGGCATTTACGATCAAAATAGAAAACTAAACGATAAAAGAAAGAAAGAAAAGCACCACCAGCAAAATAACATAAGAAGGAACGCCACAACAACATGAAGCCTTTGCCAGACACACCTGAAACGACTTGCAATGCCATACGAATACCGTTTATATGTTTGCTCAAAACAAGTGTAATTGCAGTTCCTTGGGTCCCTCGCGAAAGTTATGACTAAAGTATTAAAAGTTGCAAGAACTTTCTTTTTGTATATAAAAAACATTTACGTCTAAACACACCGAGAAATATAATTAAAATCAAAGTTACTCCTCCTACCGGGTTCGTACCTGGGTCGGAAGAATGAAATCGCCGGCATAAGTCTACGGGTTATTTCCGCCACTTTTCACTTACTCGATTGCGGTGCGCCGGAGTTGATTTCCCTCACTTCGGCAGAGAGGAGAAACGTCAAAATTAAACAACGCCCTTCGCACAACGATAGACTTGGCTTCCTGAAAAATCCCGCACCTAAAAATCCTACTTTGAGTAGAATGGACCCAACAGAGCGTACAAAGCGCGCGTTCAATTAGGAAGGAAAACACACTTAACTTTCGCGTTGCAGGAAACGCGACGACGGCGATATCTACAATTGCGCAAGGATGATACCGCAAGACACACACACACACGTAACACAACACAACACACACACACACACACACACACACACCAATCGCGCCCCCATGAATACGGTCCGAATGAAGCACCTAATCCGAGTCACGGATAAAGAGGAGATGTATCCAATGTACCCAATTTCCTCGGGGCTTCACAACCCTCCTCGTCTGTCACCGTTCTTCCTAACCCCATTACCTTGAAGTTAGTGCAGCCGCCTCTCCTCCCTCACTGCGACACGCAAAGACCGCATCAGAGGCTTAGGAAGTTAGTGAAAGTGAGAGAGAGAGAGAGAGAGGGAGTGGGTGGGAGAGGGAGAGAGGGGGGAGGGCGAGGGAGGGAGAGAGGGGGGAGGGCGAAGGGAGGAGAGAGGGGGGTGGGGGGAGGGAGGGAGGGAGGAGGGAGAGGGGCGAGGGAAGGGGGGAGGGAGGGGATGGGGGAGGGGGGAGGGGGGAGGGGGAGGAGGGGGAGATGGGGGAGGGGGGAGGGGAGAGCGGGAAGGGAGGGGGGAGAGGGGACGAGAGAACAGAGACCAACAACAACAAAAAAAAAAATAAAAGAGTAAAGAAAAAGTGAGAGAAACAGAGGAGAAAAAGAGAAACCGAACGAGCCAAAACAAATAATCTCACCCCTAACACGCTTTCACAACCCCCCACTCCCCTCACCCCCTCCACCAACCTCCACCCTCCCTCCCCCATCCCTCCCAAGAGAGCCACTCCGCCTCTCCTCGCGCGTCGCCCTTCGCACATACTCCGCGATTGGCCGATCCCGAAGCGACAAATCGGGCGGGAGGGGGGGGGGGGGGGGGGGAGACCGGGCATTCGCATTCCTCATTACGCGAGTCACTCCGTCGATGATTCGCAGTGGAACGCGCGTCGCTAACGAGCCGGAGATGGCTTTACGCTCTCGAGATAAAGGGAAGAGGGAGGGAGGAGGAAGGGGAAGGAGTGGGAGAGATAGATGGAATGTATTGTGTGAGAGAGAGAGAGAGAGCAGAGAGAGAAGAGAGAGAGAGAGAGAGAGAGAGAGAGAGAGAGAGAGAGAGAGAAGAGAGAGAGAGAGAGAGAGAGAGAAGAGAAAGAAAGAAAGAAAGAAAAGAAAGAAAGAAAGAAAGAAAGAAAGAAAGAAAGAAAGAAAAGAAAGAAAGAAAGAAAGAAGAAAGAAAGAGAGAAAGAAATGGGAGAACGAAAATACAAGAGAGTCAGAAGGAAGAACAGTAGTAAGAAGATAAATAAGGAGGCAACGATGAAGAATAAAACACAGACGAAGAAGAATCTCAGTCACTTGGGAAAGGTCAAGCGTTTAATAATAGGTTCGGTCTTGAGACACGAAGGGGGGGGGGGGGGGGGGGACAGATGAACTTATCAAAACAAAAATTAAAGAGACAATAACAACTCTATCACGATGACGATAATCATATTGGTAAGTGATAATGACAACGATATAAATAATAACAATAATTACAGCAACAGTAATAATGATAATGATAATAATAATAATAATAATTAATAATAATAATATAAATAATAAAATATAATAATAATAATAATAATAATAATAACAATAACAATAAACAAAAAGCTGTCAAAATATAAATAACACTAAAATACATATAAAAAAGGACCTCTTCCGAGAGCCCTCTCTTCTTCCCCATTCCCCCTTCCCTTCCCTCCTCTCCTCCTCCTCCTCTTTCCCCCTCTTTTTTTCTCCTTCTCCTTCTCCCCTCTTCCTTCCTTCCTCCTGCTCTCGAGAGGCCCCCGCCCGCCCATCCCGGGACAAAGGCCTTCTCAGACGAGCCCAAGACGACGAGGCTCCCTCTGTTGCTCACTACACCGCACGCACATTGCTGTCCGACATTACTTACTTCCCCTCCTGTCCCTCCTCCTATGCCTCTTATCCCCTACCCCCTCCTATGCCTCTTATCCCGGTCCTACCCCCTCCTATGCCTCTTATTCCGGTCTTACCCCCTCCTATGCCTCTTATGCCCTACCCTCTCATATGCCTCTTATCCCGGCCCTACATCGTCATATGCCTCTTACACCCTCCTATGTATCTTATCCCCTCTTACCCGCTCCAATGCCTCTTATCCCTTACCCCCTCCAATCCTCTTTACCCTTACCCCTTCCAATGCCTCTTACCCTTCCTAGCCCCACCTATGCCTCCATCCCCTTCCTAAGCTTCCCCCCCAACCACTCCTCCTATGTGTCTAACCCACCCCCATATGCCTCCTCCCCCCCCCACCCCACTCTCCTATGTGTCTAACCCACCCATCGCCTTCCCCTTCCCTTCAGCCTCCCCCACCACCACTCTCCTATGTGTCTAACCCACCCCCATCTATCCTCCTATGCCTCTTACCCCCCGCATTCCTTTCGAGTTTTCTTTGTCGACTGGGCTATGCGGCAAGGCATTTGGAATTGCAAAATGGGAATTACCCGTCCGGCGAAAGTTTCCATTTTTTCTTTTCGCCTTCTTTTTTTCTGGAAGCGGAATTCATTTTGGTAATATTTTGAGGAGAAAAAAAGAGGAAGAGGAGTGGTGAGGAGAGGGGAGGGGGGGGAGAGAGAGAGGAGAGAGGAGAGAGAGAGAGAGAGAGAGAGAGAGAGAGAAGATGAGAGAGAGAGAGAGAGAGAGAGAGAGAGAGAGAGAGAGAGAGAGAGAGAGAGAGAAGAGAGGTTTGAATCGGGAAAGACAGGGGGTGAGAGAACAAAAAGGGGAAGATAGGAGAGAGAGAAGGAGAAACAGAGGAGACAGACACACAAAAATCGCAAGACAACCCTAATCCCCCTCTCTCTTCCCCTCCCTCCCCCTCATCTCCAAAACCCATCCAGCACACCGCGAGATCTCCCATCACGTTCCTCACCTCCTCCTCCACCTCCTCCGCCGCCTCCTCCTACCCCTCTTCCAGCCACAGACCCGAGTGCGAGTCCTTCCACCGAGCCCCTGCAAGATACACTCGAGCAGGGGCGGCCGTGCAAAAAGGAAGGGGAAGATTTAAAGCGTGGCAGTTTATTCGCGGATTTCCTCCAATAGAGGGTCGTGGCGCCCCGTCGATGATAACCTACGATCAGGACCGCTCGCAACACGGCGGGGAGGGGCGGGGTTGGGGAGGAGGTAGAGGGGGAGGGGAGAGGTGGAGGAGGAAGATGGAGGAAGAGGAGGTGGAAGATGAAGTGGAGGGGGGGAGGAGAGGAGGGGGAGGAGAGGAGGAGGAGGGAGAGCGAAGCTGAAGAGAAAGAAAGAAAAGGAAGACAGAGGAGGAAGAAATATAAAAGCAAGATGATCAAAGGGGAAAAAGACAAATAATACGAAAAAAGATGAATTAGGGGGACGAAGAAGAAGAGAGAGAGAGAGAGGAGAGAGAGAGAGAGAGAGAAGAGAGAGAGAGAGAGAGAGAGAGAGAGAGAGAGGAGAGAGAGAGAGAGAGAGAGAGAGAGAGAGAAAGAGAGAGAAAGAGAGAGAGAAGAGAGAGAGAAGAGAGAGAGAGACAGAGAGAGCAGACAGAGACAGAGAGGGACAGAGACAGACAGGGAAAAAACACCCGGCCGCAAGCGAAACCCCGCGAGCATCGAACGAAACAAGATTTATTCCCCATCGACCGTTCGTCATCGGATAAAACAACACCCAAGACGGGGCCGACGACCGAAACGACCACCACAGCCGCCGAACAACATGATCGACGTAAAAGACCATCGACCACTCCCCTTGGCGCGAGCAAAGAGTGATGGACACCTAAGAGGAGGACGTGGAAGAGAGAGAGAGAAAAAAAAAAAAGTTGAAGTGGAAGAGGAAAAGGAAGATGAAGGGGACGAGAGGAAGAGAGGCAGAGGAGAGTGAGGAGAGTTAGGATGAGGAGGTGAGGAAGGAAGAGGAGAAAGGAGAAAAGAGGAGGAGGAGGAGGAGAAAGAAGAAAGGAGAAGGAGAAAGAAGAAAGGAGAAGGCGAAGAAAGAGGAGAATGAGGAGAAGAAAGAAGAAAGAAGGGGCGAGGAACCAATGGAAAGTGGGTCAACGCTGGCAGCAACTCCAGGCGGCAAATTTGAGTATATAACGAGACCAAGATGGGGAGACACACACCGACGTACCAGAAGGCGCGGAAACTCAATATTTCATGCGAAACGAGAGGGATGGGGGGAAGGATGCAGGAAAAAAGGAATGAGGGAAGGAAAGGAAGGAAGGATAGGTGGATGGATAGAGGGACGAAAGTAGAAAGGGATAAAGTGAAAAAGGGAAGGGGGGGAGGGGAAGGGAAGGGAAAAGAAGAGTAGGGGAGAAGAGGATTGAAACAAAAAGTAAAGCAAGAAAAGAGGGGAAGGGGGTGGGCGTGTCATACGTCACGGAAACGAGCCCTCCTTTCCTCAGGGACACGACCGCGGGCCCTGACAAAGCCCCCTGGCCCGTCTCCCATTAATTTTGTCCCTAATTTCCCTCCTTCCCTTCTACTCCCCCGTCAACCAGCCTTCCTTCTCTCCTCCTCCTCCTTCTAACCTTCCACATACCTTCCTCCCACCTCTTCTCGCTTCCCCGTTTTCCTCTATTCCTCCTTATCCACGTGACCTATTTCTTTTTCTCTATCTCTTCTCCCTTCTTCCCTCCTCTCTTCTGTGTTTTGCTCATATCCACCTATCCTCCCTCTCACAATCTCTCTATCTCCTATCTCTTTCTCCCCTCCCCTCCCCTCCCCCGCCCCGCCCCTCCCTCTCTCTCTTCCTACCCCTCCTCTCCCTCTCCTAACCCTCTCCACCCCCCTCCCCCTTTCCACCCCCCAAACCACACATCAATCTCCCCTGCCATCCCGATAGAGTCCATCTCCCCGGAAGTGGACACCCCTCCCCCTCCCCCCAACCTCCATCCGCTTAGCCACTCCTGCTGCATCCCATTGGCCTCGGCGTCCTTAGCGTCCTTGGCGTCCGACCGACTTCATTAGGCGGCGCCCCGTTCCCCGCACCGCGTTCCCGCATGCACAACGAACTCCTAATACTTGAATGCACATCTTGGCCTCGTTCTCTCCCTCCGTTGCGTAATATAAAACAATCCGGCTTTTTTAAACCGCCCACCCGCGAAGGACATGGGTAGGGTGGGGGGTGGGTGGGGTGGGGTGGGGTGAGGTGGAGGGGGTGGGGGGGCAATATCTAGTGAAGAGAATCCCCAAACACTAACAAGCTGATGTTACCGAATGACCCTTTGTTCCGACCAGAGAATTAAGCCTCACTATTAGCCTCATGCCCTGCTACCGACAACATCCAATAAAAACCTTGGAACTCTTTGAAGAGGATTAAACAAGACAGGTAAACGAGAAAATAAAAAAAAAAATATTAACCACTCGCTAAACCAGAAACAAATAGAGAACTAAGAAAAAACAAGAAAAAAAACTTACCGGGCAAGGCCTCCAGCCTTGGATGTGTCATTGATATTATGCATGACAAGTCCTCCAGTCCTTCCTTTTACATGCATGTAAATCGCAACAAAACAAACAAAAATAATATATAAACCATCAACCACCTTAAAACTTATAAAACGTAAAACAAAGAGATGTAAACAAACAAGAAAAAAAAAAAAAAAAAAAAGCTATAATGAAAACAAGGACAAAAACAAAACAGTAAGGCCTCCCCCGCCCACCGCCACAGGGGCGCAGGGGGCTGGCGCAGGAGGCGTCGCGGGGGACTTACATATCGAGGAGGTTGACGGCGAGCGACAGCCACTGCACGGAGGTGAGGTGGTCGCCCCGGGGCAGCTGCGTGAACGACGGAAGCGCCCCCGTCACGCGCATGCCGGAGTGAACGGCGGTCATCCTGGCGATCCTCACAGCGGCGCCTGCGAAGCGGAGGACCTCGGGCGTTCAGCGGAAGAACGGCGAGGAGGACGAGGCGATGGCCGAATCACAGGCAGATGCACGCGCTTCGAGCTCTTGTTCCACGGTTATTTCACTCTCTTCTTTTCTTCGAGATCTTCCCGCTGGATGTGCTCCTTGCGTATACGAAGCCGCTCGGTCCTATTTTGAGCACCAATGAACACCAAACACTCCTTTTCTCTCTTCCTTTTTTTCTCCTAAGGATAACTGAGCAAATCCATCAATCACTGCCCCGACTCCACACGGAAGCGAAGGAACCCAAAACGGAAAAGACGGACGGAGAGGAAACACCGGCTCCCCTTCTCTTCTCGTCCGCCAATCAATGGACTCGTGAAGTGACTAGTCCGTCAGAGAACCAGGCGTCGGGCGAGGTAAACGAGAGTCCGCAGGAACAGGAGCGAAGCAGCAGGGTACCGATATACCCGCAGCGATAAACCGTAAAAAAAAACACACACAGCAATTTAAAAAAAAAAAATCAGGAAGATAGGACGAAAGCGAAAGGGAATCCAAGGCAGGATACCGCCCCTCAGGAACACGCAGAAGGTGGCGACGGCGGCGTGGAAGCAGGAGTAGGAGTAGGAGTAGGAGTAGGAGTCTCTGCCAAGCTGGACGACGATCGGCTACCCCGGAATGCTGGTGGTAGCGGGGCGTGACTTGAACCTGAAAGTTCCATACAATCTATGCTGTTGAGGGGGAGCAAATGGAGGAGGTGGTCATTAAACCAAGAATAATTAGGAATGGCAAAATACGTAAGAATAAAAATAGGATAATCGCAAAAAAAAAAAAAAAAACGCAGATACGCGGAAATGTATATATAATTTCATAGCCATTACAGTAATTAAATCGTGTGCTCGAAGTTTACCCAGGTCGTTAAACTTGTCGTAAAAGAAAATTCCCAAGGCAACGCTAAAAATACGTCCAATTTCGTACTAGTTTTTTTTTTTAGTAGAAAAGAAAGAGAGGGAGAGAGAGAGAGGAGGGTAGGCTAGGAAAGAGAAATGCAGAGGAGATGAGAAGAGATGAGAAGAGAAGAGCGAGGAGGAGGAAAGGAAAGAAATCGGGAGAGATAAACCAAGTAAAAAAAAAAAAAAAAATCAAAACCAACAACCAGAAATACGACGATGACAACAAACACCAAAACGAACACAAAATCGATGGGAATTCCATCACCCCTAGCCCGTCTTTCCCCTCCCTTCCCCTCCCTCTTTCCCCTCTCCCCTCTCCCCGCCCTCCCCTCTTCCATCTCCCACACCGCATATAAAGAGATCTAATTCCCTCCACCCACGGTCCATCCTGAATAAGAACGCCGGAGCTATCTATAAAAATGCAACAAAGACACCATAAAAGAGTGGGAGAGACTTGGAAGCAGGGAGGGGGAAGGGGGGAAGGGAGAGGGAAGGGGGGATGGAAGAGAGCGGGAGAGAAGGAAATGGAGAGGAGGGAAGGAGGAAAAAGGGGAAACAGGAAAGAGGAGGGAGGGAGAGAGGGGAGAGAGAGAGAGAGACAGAGACAGAGGAGGATGGAGGGAGGAGAGAGAGAGAGGAGAGGGAGAGGGAGAGGGAGAGGGAGAGAGAGAGAGAGAGAGAGAGAGAGAGAGAGAGAGAGAGAGAGAGAGAGAGAGAGAGAGAGAGAGAGAGAGAGAGAGAGAGAGAGAGAGAGAGAGAGAGAGAGAGAGAAGAGGGGAGAGAGAGAGAGAGAGAGGAGAGAAAGAGAGAGAAGAGAGAGAGAGAGAGAGAGAGACGACGAGAGAAAGAGAAAGAGAAAGACAGAGAGAGTACGAGAGAAAGAGAAAGAGAGACAGAGAGAGGACGAGGGAAAGGACGAGAGAAAGAGAGAGAGAGAGCGCTCTCTCCAGATTCCCCCTGCCGCCATAACCCGAAGACTGCCCATCACCATCTTCGGCCACCGGTAATGCCACGATAATAAATTTACAGCGTTATATGGAGGCGCATTCATTCTCATTTCCTTTCCTTCCTTCCTCTTCATTTCACTTTGTTTCTTTCTCCCTTTCAATAATCATTATTCCCTATAACCTTCAATATTTCCGTAATCTCCTCCTTTTTTTTCCCTCCCTCTCCTTTCTCTTCCTTTCGCTTTCTTCCATCTCGCTCTCTAACCCTGCTCACTCTCTCCTATTCATCATCTGTCCTTCATTTCATCAATTTTTTTTTTTCTCTCGCTCTCTCTAATCAGCTTTATCTCTTTCCTTTCTTATCTTCCCCAATCTTTTTAATACGCCTTCCCTGCCATTCTCCCATGAGTGTCCCCCGTCCCTGTGAGGTGAATAAAAATCCGCGATCAACATCAGGCGCTGCCATCAAGCACACACGCAGGCACAGACCGACACATTACATATAAAATAATGATAAATAAATAAGTGAATATAAAGAAAGACACAGGCAAGCACAGACCGACACATTACATATAAAATAATAATAAACAAATGCACACGCACACAGACCGACGCATACAAATAATAATACATATAAAAATAATGATAAATAAATAAATGAATAAAGACACACGCAAGCACAGACCCGAACACATTACATATAAAATAATGATAAAAAATAAATGAATATAAAGAAAGACACGCGCAAGCACAGACCCATTACATATAATATAAATAAATAAATAAATAAATGAACATAAAGAAAGGAAGAAAAGAAGAAAACGATGAAACGAGAGAACTCAAACCCAATTATTAGTGAGCACAGTGACATGGCAGTCTAGATCACCGGCGCCGTAATCACTGTCAGATTAATTAATTAATCTACATACCGTTAATGGGTTATTTGGGGGAAGGGGAGAGGGGATCCCTTCCCCCCTCCCCACTTCCTTCCCCTTCCCCTTCCCCTTCCCCTTCCCCCTACTCCATTCTCACTCTCTTCCCTTTACTTCGACCAAAACGTTGTGGAAAGACGGAGGGAGGGAGGAAGGGAGGGGAGTTAGAAAGGAAAACGAGAGATGGGAAAGGGAGAGAGGAAAAGAGAATGAGGGCCGGGAGAGGGAAAGAGGAAGAGAGAATGAGAGGCGGGAGAGGGAGAGAGAAAGGGGTAAGGGAGAACGGAAAAGAGAATGAGAGACGGATAAGGGAAAGAGGAAAAAGAGAAGGAGAGACGGGTAAGGGAGAAAAAACTGAGGGAGGGGAGAAAGGAGAGCAGGTGAAAGCGAGGGAGGGAGAGAATAAAAGACAGAAAAGGAGAGAAGAAAAGCAAGAGAGGAGGGAGGGGGAGGGAGGAAAGAAAAGGAGAGGGAGGGGAGGAGGGAAAGGAAGTGAGGAGGGAGGGGGAGGGAGGGAAAGGGAAGTGAGGAGGAGGGAGGAGGAGGGAGGAAAAAGCAAGAGAAGGGAGAGGAAGGAGGGAAAGGCAAGAGGAGGGAGGGGGAGGGAGGGAAAGGGAAGTGTCATTTACGAGGTCCTCCCATTCAGGAAGAATATCCCATCATTAGATACTTGGCAGTGTTTCTTGCCCTTCCTTTTATCCTCTAACCCCCCCCCTCCCCGCTTTATCTTGTTTGTATGTTTGTTTGTTTTCCAAGAAAGAGACTCGTAATCTTCATTCTATTTTCATTTCATATTCCCTTTTTTCCTTCTCGTCTTCTCTTCTCTTTTCCTCTTTCCTCGATAATATTACAAATCCAAATGTTTGATCTGAACTGGTTAAAAGAATATTGATCAATCTATCTCTTCTCCATCAACCTCCCTACCTCTCTCGACCTCAAATCTATCCATTCAGCCTATACAGACAGACACACACAAAACGGTAGACAGCTCGACAGACAGATGTAATCAATCACAACAAGAGCAAATTGACGGGGCTGTACTTATCCCCACCTCCCTGACCCCCTGATATGTCTGCGTCAGCCTAATGAGAGAAAATGTGAAAGAGACGGGAAGAAGAAGAAGAAGAAGAAGAAGAAGAAGAAGAAGAAGAAGAAGAAGAAGAAGAAGAAGAAAAGAAGAAGAAGAAGAAGAAGAAGAAGAAGAAAAAAAAAAAAAAAGAAGAAGAAGAAGGAGGGGTTTAGGAGGGAGAGAAAGCAGAAAGAAAAGAAAGACACGGAAGAAAGAAAGAAGGGAAAAGTAAGAGTATAAACGGACGACGACGATGACAAGACTTAAAAAGAAAAAAGGGAAGGAAGAAGAGGGAAGTCGAACGGAAGGAGCAGCGGGAATGAAGAGGAGCGGAGGAAGGAGGAGGAGAGGAGGAGGAGGAGGAGGAGGAGGAGGAGGAGGAGGAGGAGGAGGAGGAGGAGGAGGAAGAGGGGAGGAGGAGGAGGAGCACTCAAGACATCCGAGGGGAGCGGAGGCACCCAAGTCACGTCGCTCTGCTGGGGTGGGGGGGGGGAGGCTACGGGGATGTAGAATGGGAAATGAATGAAGGATGGAGAGATAAAGGAGGGGGATAAAAGGAGGAAAAAGAAATACTCAGAACACCAAAAAAGGGGAAAGAGAAGTAAAGCGGAAGCAACGAAGAAATAAGAAAAAAGTAATGTAGAGAGAGAGAGCGAGAGCGAAGGAAAAAATAGAGCTTGGGAAACGAGATGGGAAAAGCGGAAACAATAAAGATTTAAAAGAGATAGAGAAAATAAATAGATAGATAGATAGATAGATAGATAGATAGATAGAGAGAGAGAGAGAGAGAGAGAGAGAGAGAGAGAGAGAGAGAGAGAGAGAGAGAGAGAGAGAGAGAGAGAGAGAGAGATAAAGTAGAAGAGAGACAAGTGATACTGAGCTTTCCCGACCTGATTTCCGGCTCCTGATCAATAAAACACATAACATCCAACCAGCTGCGGTCCCATGTGAACGGGGGAACGGGGGGGATACCTTAAAAAAGGGAAAGAGGGAGAGAGAGAGAGAGGGAGGGAAGGAGGGAGAAAGGGGAGGGGGTGAGAAGAGAAGGGAGGAAGGAGGGAGAGAGAGAAAGAGAGAGAGAGAGAAAGAGAAGAAAGAAGAGAGAGAGAGAGCGAGCGAGCGAGAGAAAGAAAGAAAGAAAGAGAGCGAGAAAGAGAGAATGAGAGAGACAAATAGACAGACAGACAGCAGACAGATAGATAGTTAGACAGACAGACAGACAGACATCCTATCCTCACTATCATCGTCTTCCTCGTCTACGCAACGCATTCTTACGCCGGCATTACGGGGCGGCTTGATAAGGAGAGCAACAAAAGGACGTTATCTTCGTTATCGCTCCACTGCAGAGGAGCGGTGGAGGGGGGAGGGAGGGAGGGGGGGGGAGGAGGAGGAATTGGAGGAGGAGGAGGGAGAGAATTGGAGGGGGAGACGGAGGAAGAGGAATAGGAGGAAGATGTGGAAATGGAAGTGGAAGAGAGAGAAGAGAAGAGGAGAAGGAAACGAAGCCGAAGACGACCAAAATAAAGAGTAAACGAAGACGAGGCGACGCCCAAAATACGAACAAACAACAAAGAGAAACAAAACAACAACGACGATGATACGAGAAAAAAAAAAAAAAAAAAAAAAAACCTGCTTTTCATCACCATTAAAGCGAAAAACAAAGAGGAGAGAAGGACAAAAGAGTCCTTTCAAACGCGACTGCCACAAGGAGGCCTTTTTGCCGCACAAAAGGAAAACGCGAATTTTCCTCGCATTACACGCCTTCTCTCCCATCGCTCGCCTCGCCCCCCCCCCTCCTTCCCCACTCCCCACGCGTGCTCCCCTATCCACGGTTCTTGTTTCAATTTTTTTATCTATCCTTTTTTCTCCTTCTTAAATTATTATCATCACTATCATTACTATTACTGTGATCATCATTATCATCATCAATATTATGATCATCATCATTATCTTACTATTGAATCACCATCATTATCACCAATGATAAAGATAACAAAAAATTATAATAAAACATCACGACGAATTTTACAAGATAAAAAAAAATCCTAAAACTAATTCAATCAACGTTTCCACCACCAAAAAAAAAAAAAAAAGGCGAACGCAGGATAAAACGTGCGCCATGTTCACCGGGCCGTGTTCATCAGCTTCCCCAAAAGGCCCTAAACCGTTCTGGCAGCTCATTATTACCTCGTGGCCATCCCGTCACGCACGCTCCCTGCTAATACCGCAATAACGCCATTCTATTATGGCTTCGGGTATTTTCTCGCTCGTCCTACTCTCTCACGCTCTCGCTCTCGCTCTCTCTCTTCTCTCGCTCGTTCTTCTCTTCCTCTCTCTCTCTCTCTCTTGCTCTCGTTTTCTCTCTCTCGCTTGGTCTCGTTTTCTCTCTCTCGCCTTCTTTCTCTCTCTCTCGCTTCTTTTCTTTCGCATGTTCTCTTTTTCTCGCGTACTCTCTCTCTCTCTTTCTTCCTTTCCTTATTCCCTATTCCCCTATTCCTTATCAGAATCCCACCCAAGCTCCCCTGCAATCAAACCGGATAATTCGCCCTACTCCCATCCCCCCCCCCCCCAAGTTCCCTTCGGTCCCGACCCGAGACCGGACCGGAGACGACCCACCGGCCCGACGCCGCGCCCGCAGGACCAGCGACTCCGAAACCCGAAGACCAAACGCCAACAATCCGCACCCGATAAGACGCCCCTCGGCCGGCGGCGCGCGAGGCGGAGCGTGACCTCGCAGCGGCCCCGGATCGGCACAGCATCCGGAGAACAGCGGAAGCGGCCTCATCGCCATCCTCATCACCGTCATTAGCATCAGCAGCAACAGCAAGAGCAGCACCAGCAGCAGCAACAGCCTGCACCACCCGGTCGATGGCCAACAGATGCGCAAAGTCTGTTGGCTACTCGCTGCTGCTGCGGCTCTGCTAGCTAGCACCTCCCTCTCTCCCTCCCTCCTCCCTCCCTCCCTCTCTCCCTCCCTCCCTCCCTCCCTCCTTCCCTCTTTCCTGCTCCTGCATGCTACCCCCTCAATCCCTCCCTCCTTCCCTCCTGCTCCCTATTCCCTTCCTTCCCTTCCTCCTTCCTCCTCTTCATCCTCCCTCCCTCTCCTTTTCCTACCTTTCATCCCCCACAGAGACCATACAGAAATAAAAAAAAACGTAAACCCAATCGTAAACAAACAAAATACACACATCTACCCCCCCCCCCTACCAACACCACTACATTCACACACTCTCACTCTCTGCTCCTTGTACCTGCGTAAATGGGAGAGACAGATCAGAATCGGAGAGAAAAATAAAGAGGAAATGGTACAGGGAGGGAGAGAGGAAGAAGAGGGACAGGAAGAAAAAGGGAGGGACAGGGAATGAGGGAGAAAATGGAGGAAAGGGGGAGGGGAAACAGGAGATAAAGACATGCCCGAATTAAATTACAAAATAAATAAACACGCAAAAAGCAAAGAGGTAATCAATCGTAACACCTGGAAATAACAAACGCAACGAAAACCCAACGGAATGTAAAAACTGCGGCCGTCCATTCCAATGCAGAGCTCTTTCCGAGACAAATTTTCGGAAACGTCCCGCACACACACACAAAACACACACACACACACACACACACACACACACACACACACACACACACACACACACACACACACACACACACACACACACACACGCACACACACACGCATCCCGATCCCTGGCACTTCTCTCAACCCCCCTACTCCTCCTCCTCCTCCTCTCCCTCCCCCACCGACTTCACTGCGGCATTCACACACCCACGCCGCCGCCTCCGCCTCCGCCTCCTCCTCCTCCTTGCTCCTCCTCCTCTTCCTATTCCTCCTCCTCTCTCTACGCCTAAGAAATCCTCCCGTTGTATCTTCTTCTTGATGCTACTCTCCCTACTCCCTCCATTCTCTGTGTCTGTCTGTCTCTCATTTTCCCTTTCTTTCTCCCTCTATCCCCCTTCCCTCACTCCCTCTCTTCCCGTCCCTCCCTCCTTTCTTCTCTGTTCCTTTAATATCTCTCTATCTCCCTCTCCCCTTCTCTTTCTCTCTCCCTCTCTCTCATTAAAGGAACCTTCCCAGATACCCTTACCAGCGGTACAAGGTGTGTATGCGAGCGTGTTGTGTGTGTGTATGCGTGAGTATATGTGTGTTGTGTGTGTGGGGGGGGGGGGGGGGGGAATAACAGGCGAAGGACAATTTTCACAACAAAGGCGGCCAAACGTTTGCCGCTCGTTGGCCTTAATGGACTTTTGCCAACAGGGGGGGACCACAAAGGGGATTTAAAAAAAAAAAAGGCGCTTAAACAAAAGGGATAATCATTCTTTGCCCTAAAAAGCCATTTGTACCCTCCTGCCCTATTCTGGGGGTTCTGTGGTTTTGTTTTGGTTTTGTTTTTGTGTTTTTTTTTTTGTTAATTTTTGGGGGCATTTTTTTTTTTCCCTTTGTTTTCTCCCCGGGGGGAAAAAAAAAAAAAAAAAAAAGGCGGAAAAAAAAAGGGCCCCCCCCCCCCCCCCCCCCCCCCCCCCCCCCCCCAAAACTTGGCCCCAAAAAAAAAAAAATTTTTC